CATGATTTTTATCATTTTTCTTTGAACCCACAGAGAGTTTGTTCTAATTTTGTTTTGGCAATGGAGAACTTGGAAGTATAATGTCATGTCGAGATGCTGCTTAAACCTTTCTTTTTAATTCTTTCTTGTTGAAAAAGAATAAACATTCATTTAAATGTCTGGATGTAGTCTTAGAAAATGGTGTATCTATTTTTCATTTGCTTCTTTTTAATATGTATTATGTCAGGGTGGTGTGTGTGTGTGTGTTTATATGTGTAATGTAAAGGGAAAGAAAGAGATGATGTAATGTTCTGTATTATGTTATTATTGTGTATACATTACATGTTTTCCAACATCATATTATTGCAATGTCTGTGAGATGCAACATGCTATTTTCCACTGTTTGTGTGCTCTTATAAAGAAAAAAATATATTTTCTTGTCTTATTTTGTCTTTTTTTCCCTCTTTTACAGCATCTTAATCAAAGACTTCATGCTACAGATTCCAAGTTCAATTCTATGGAAAATGAGGTGTGTTTTTTTAACATTACGTAAAAATATGAAGCAAAATAGTTTAGTTTTGTTGTATACTTAAATGAGTAAGAGATCACTCCCGTATGCTTGGGTATGCTTGAATTTTGATTTGAGGTTGTTGGGGTTTTTTTTTTTGGGGGGGGGGAACTTTCATTGTTATGTTCATCCACCTCGACAATGTGCTATATATAGCTTTTCAGGTGTCTCATAGCTTCTAGACATTGATGGTGCTTGTATTAGTTGGCCAAAGAGATGTTCTATGAAAGGGATGCATTGTTCTGAAATTTTTCTTTTGCTTTATTTATTTAGTTTAGCTTGGACGTGAGTATCCTGATGTTCTCTCATCTGTCTTGTTCTGAGCTTTTCGTTTTTGTTTTTCAGTTACAAAACTGTTGATCTTGTCTAGTATCTTTTCATAATGATTATGATAATAATGATAACAACAATAATAATGATAATAATTGCATTTATATAGCGCTTATCCACGCTCTTAGGCATTTTCTATGAGCTTTACAGAAATTATACTTTCGTATGTTTTGCTTTCAATTTTCTTTCAGTTGCATGTGTCCAACACATCCCTCATGGAAAGAACGAGCCAGCTGCAGCAGATAAGGCAAGACCTGGAGCGACAGAAGACCGCACACGAACAGCTGGACCAGAACAACAAGCTGGAGAAGGTCAGAAAGTTTTTCTTTTTGACAGAATTTTGCTCTCATTTTTAATTAATAAAAGTACAGCCTCTTGATATTGTTCCACGTCTTCCAACTTTTCTATACACCATTCTCTGTGACTCATCTCCAGGTTCCACTTGGCTTTCCCCCTTGATCTCTTACCATTTGGATTCCAAATCTGCCTTCTTTTTTTAAAGTTCAGTTTATGCAATTTTTACTATGTTACATGCAAGCTAAAGAACTGAATTTTTTGTAACTAAGAAAACAAACTCTTTGCAAACATCCCATGTCAATAATTAGAAAAAAAACAATTTTGATTAAAGTGAAGAAAAAAAGCTCTTTTGTTTTAAAGCATTGGAAAAAAAATTTTTTGTCACTTTTCCCCAGGATCACAATGCCAAGCTCCAGGCAAAAGTTGAAAGTATTCAAGAAAAGTGAGTTATTTGTTTGTGTTTGAGGGAAATCTATTTGATATCTGCACTTGAAATGAACAGTGTGGATGGATGGATTATTAATCTGGTCATCACTCTGATTGTGTTGACATATTTCATTGGTGGTTGGTGGGTGCTCTAGTGTGGTTTGCTATTTTTTTTCTATCGAACATCTATCGTCCTTATCTTTTTTTCTTTTCTTTGTACCATACATTATTCTCTAGAAATACCTCTCATTTCTGGCTATTACATGACCTATCTGTGTTGCACATATCATATAACTCTTACATACAGATATGCTTCATTACATCAACAAAAAAACCAAAGAGCCCAAGTGTATGATGATGTTTTTACCATTTCAGTGAACAAAACAAAAAGCTTCTGGCTTGTTAAAACATCATCAAGTCTCTTGAAAGGAAGCTGTGAGATTTTCCTCCAAAAAAATAACTTTTGTTTCAAATGTGAACTTTGAAGAAGGTTTTCACTTTTTACTATGACAGTTTGACTCTCAGGAGGAAACTGCAAAATTACTCTTAGAACAAATTTGAATGTAATTTTAGGTATAAACTTCAGAAAAAGATCTTGAGAGTAATCCATCCCTCTTTTGGAACATTGACAGACCACTCAAAATTAGAAATAGAATTTGGCAATGATTTTACAGTTCCTTTTTCTTATCAGCAGCCTCAGTGTCATGTAAACTGAGCAGACCGATGTATTTGTTTTGTTTGTATACTTGTATCCCATTTAAAATTGAATCTGAAAAAAAAGATTTGAAATTGTGTAATCTAAATGTCCCTTTTGACGCTGCTAGGTTATTTAAGAGGCGGAACCTCCAAATTAAACTTCTATTTCCAATAGGGCCCTAAAACTAAATTCAAGCATAGCAGCTTTTGCTTGAGGTCTCTAATTACAGATTGTTTTGTTTTTTCAGAGCCATTCACATAACGGACGTTTTTTGTTTTGTTTTGTTTTGTGTTCCCAGACTGAGCCACCAGCAGCACGAGAACCTGTCCTTGAAGCAGCAGATGGACAGCCTCAAGTTGTCTGGCGGGGGACTGCCTGGCTCTGAGGCCAATGAGAAACTGAATGCTATTCTCACCAACCTGAGGGCCGACAGTGAAAGGGTAGGGAAAATGTCAGACTGTGTATGAAAAACCTCTATTCTTAACTCCTTATCTCCAGCAAGGCGCTCCCAGCCGCTCACAGTCAGTACCGCTGTGCCGATGAGCTGCTGGCAGAGGCTTGGGCAGATTCTTTTACGACAAATTCGATGTCAAATTAGTTTCGCCAAAAACAGGTCTTTTTTATCAGGAGTTCTTTCTTTAGATGAATAACTATTCAACTAGGTAAATTTGTTTTGATTTATTGACCACATACATACAGCAATTCTTTCAAATACATATACACCCATAATCTGACAAAGAACGCATAAACAAAAGACAATCACTTCGGCTAATGATCACATTTGTTGTTGAAAAAGGAATCACTATTCAGTATATTGGGCTGCAAGTACCATAAAATTTTTTACTAAAGCTAAACTATGGTGCTCAATGTCATGTGACCTAATGCAGTTGCGAGCGCCGTAAAACCTTACTAAACTAAAAGCTAAACTAAACTAATCAACTAAATTTGAATAAATGTTTTCTGTTTCTCAACTTATTCTCAGGCGCGGGCTAGCCTAGAGGAGAGGAACACCTCTCTGGTGGAGCAGGTGGCGAGGCTGAAGGAGGAGGTGCGGAGCGGGGAGACGCGCAGAGCCACGCTAGAGCAGGAGCTGAGACGTCTCCACGAGGAACACAGCGACATGGTGAAGAAGTTGTCGCATGCCGAGGCCTCCTTACAGATGACCATGAGGGTGAGTGAGAGAACAGTTGGGAAGAAAGGTATATGAGCCTTTTCCTGCAGATGACAAACTAGATTGAGTGAGAGAAAGGTGGGAAAAAAGGTATAAGAGCCTTTTCCTGCAGATGACCCACAAGACTGAGTGAGAGAAAAGTGGAAAGAAAGGTATATTATTAACCTTTTTCTGCTGATGACCATAGCTGGGAATGAGTGAAAGTTAAAAAAAAGTATATTAAACGTTTGCTTCAGATGACCATAGCCATGAGTAAAAGAAAGAGGAACGAAAGGTATATTAGTGTTTTGCTGCAGATGGCAACTTGGTGAGTGAGAGAACGTGAAAAGAAAGATATATTAGCCTTTTTCTGCAGATGACCATAGTGGTGAGTGAGTGGATTTTCCTTGGACTGTCTCGGATTCGGCAGTTGGAAATTTCAGGGCCTTATTACAAACACTGCACCAAAACTAATCCCACTTGATATGATTTTGCTCATTTTTATGAATCCTCTGTTATAACATTGGGTGTCCTTGACTGGGTTTATAAAAGGTTGGCAAGCCTATTTGTGTTTTGTGGGTGGTTGGATGACGCCACTGGTAGGTACTTTTACTTTCACTCTGTTCTGTCTGTCTGTCTGTCTGTCTGTCTGTCTGTCTGTCTGTCTGTCTGTCTTACTTTTTCCAAGCACTAAATGACCATCATTATGTCGATGTTCTTCTCTTTACTCAAACAAACAAACAAACAAACAAAGGTTTGTGTTTCCTCAGTCCAAAGACCAGCTGGAGCAGGAGCGAGCCCAGCTGCGTGTGGAGATGGAGAAACTACAGCAGCGTTACCAGTCCACGCACGACAAGTCAGTGGAGGCGCAGGCCCGGGTCTCGGAGCTGGTGGACCGGCTGGAGAAGGCGGAGCACTCGTCTCTGTTCAGCACGCAGCAGCTGGCCAATACCTCGGCTAACATGCAGGCTGTCACAAAGTCAAAGGTTTGTCTGTAGTGACGAGAGAGAGAGACAGAGAGAGAGAGAGCTAAATTAAACTACAGTTGAAATTGTTAAAGATGGCCACCCATCATTGAGCAGAAGACTGGCCATCTCAGACAGGTGGCTGTCTTATACAGCATGGCTGTAATGTAAAAAAACGACACATTTTTGTTGGCACTTGGCAAAAACGACTATCTTTACTGCATTATGACATGGTTCATTAAAAAGGTATGATTTCTGAAGTGTTTAGTGTATATGTACACAGTTCAGATAAAAACCTTAAGCTAAAGAAAAAGACTATGAGGAATTAATAATTATGTGGGATTGTTTTCTGTTGTTTTTCTTACCCTTCTTGATTTTTTTTCCTTGCAAACCTTTTATACATTTCATATGTATGTATTGTTTTGTCTTGCAGACTTTCATACATTTCATGTGTGTGTTTTGATTTGTCATTTGTCAGTCTGAGTTGGACGAGTCTATGCAGCAACTTCAGATAGACAACGCACGGTTGGAGGCAGAGCTGAAGTATGAGAAGCAAAGAGCGGACATGTTGTCCCAGGACTTGCAGGACTCACAGAAGGTATGCAGTTCGATTCTTATGTGGGTGGTGACGAGTTTGAGTGATGTGTTGGTGGTTTTAATCTTGGTGATGCTTTGAGGTGGTGACTTTGAGTGATGCGTGAGTGGTGGTGAGTTTGAGTGATGTGTTGATGGTTTGAGTTTGAGTGATACATGGGTGATGGTGAGTTTGAGTGATATGCCGATGGTTTCAAGCATAAACTTGCTGAATTTGGGAGTTCTAAAAGTTTCTGATGGCTGATCCTAAAACAACTTATCAATGATTACATTGGTTTTTTTATACAGTTGAAATTATCCAAGACGGCCACCCATTGTCAAGGAGAAAATTGGTTGTCTTAGGCAGGTGGACATCTTGGACAGTAACATAGAAAAAAATGCAAGGTGGGAAGTGTTTGTTTATACAATAAATGATTGTCTTGTACAGGTGGCCGTTTGAGCAGGTTTGACGAAACTTTCCTTTCATCTGTCCTTATTATTGTTTGTCTTTTCCTGCCCCTCTTTTTGCATGGCTCTACTGGAGATGGATATTTATTTGCAGGTCCTGCCTCTTAAAGAATTTTATAGTGATTATAGTGCCTTAAATCTATGCCATCCCTCATCTGTATCCTCTTCTCCATCTCTCTCTCAGGTGCGCAGCAGTCTTGAAGCCCTGTGTGCCAATCTCAAGTCAAGCTCAGCGCACTTGGAAGAAAAGCTTGGGGTAAGATGTCTTGTCTCCGTCTATGCTGTTCTCTCTTGTATTCCTGCCCTTGTGATGATTCACAGTTTGTGGCTTATCTGTTCCATGGTGAACTCCTTCCCCGTCTGTTTGTCAGTGGCTACATTATCCAGCAATATAAAAATTGTAGCAATGAAATAAGGGAAAGAGTTTCTTTATTTAAAGACTGTCTCTGATGAGGACATAAATTTGTGGAGTGTCTGATTTCATTTCTCTTCATGTAACTCTGCACTCTTGGAGATTGATCTGTGTGACTGCTGCTGTACTCTCTTTCCTAAGCCTTTTGCTTCCATGGCTACAACATTACAACACAGTAAGTGTAAGGCCTTATCAGGGCTGATTCTTAAGAAGATAATTCAGAAAAGGTAGAGCTTTTGATTTTTTTCCTTTGTAATTGATGACTTTTTGAATGCTCAGTGTAAGACTCCATCATACATCATTTTTCAAAATTATTACGGAGTCTTTCTCTAAGCTGTCGATTAGTGATTGGCATTTGAAATGCTGGGTTGTGTTGTGAAATATATTTTCATGATATCTGCCTTATTATGATCATAACTGTGTGCAAGTGTGGCTTTTGCTGTACCTGTTTTCAAAATGATTTTTCAATTATTGTCCAGATTCCCACTTTAGCCTCTAGTTTCATCATTATAAGAAGTTCTTTTTCTCATAAAATTTGGAGTTTTGGGATTGAAGTGCAAGGATGTGAGAGGGGAAGGTTATAATTTGGGGTTACAGTTGAAATCATGTTAATTCATCCTGGACTCTAAATCTGATCTTTGACCTAAAGTTCCAAAACTATAGAACAAGATTTTCAACAAGGGAATCTGCACCACCCCTTGTCAGTGCAGTGCTGGTATCTGTTGTGCTAAGGTTCAGCTTCTCTTTATTGTAAAACGAAAAGCAAAAAAACCAAACTAATTAGTTTTTCACATAATATCTTTTCGTTCCAAACTAACCATGTGTGTTGGTTTCTTGGGGTGGTGGGAAATGAGTTCTCTCTGTTGTTAGCTTGGGATTTGTTTTCAGTCTGAACAGAGTGGCCTTGAGGACAGTAGGCTGGACGTAAGTGACCTCGACCATCTCGTCTCAATGCTAGTTTGACCTCGTAGTTGCCTCCTCCAAACGAAGACTGCGAATAATCGTACTAAGATTTACTCTGTTGCTTCTGAACTATCCCACAACTAAGTTCTTCTGGTCAGCAAAGAAGTGTGTTTCCCTGATTGTCCACTGTTTTGTTTGAGTGGCAACCATGGTCACGTGTCTTTGCTGTTCCGCTGTTGTGGGATTGTGAGAAATAACAGTGTTGTTCTATCCGATTTTTCATGGTGTTTGCATTTATACCTAGTCACAACATCCTTCTCTTAACAACTCCTTATGTACGATAATGGTTAAGCCATATATCAAATATCATTTTCATTTTCTTTTTCAGAACTAAATTTTGTCATTCATCCTGGCCATTATTTTGCTTTCAAATTACTTAACTGCAGATTGCAGGAAACAAACAATCAGAGAGACTCCTCTGAAGTTACTTGTAGTCTGATGCAGCTGCTTTTTCTACAGCATTTTGTTGCTTTTGGCTTTTCTTTTTTACCATAATATAATGTCAGTCACTTATGCAAAAATAGAAGAAAAAAAAGACAGGCTGATGCTGTTGGAGGTTAATTTTTTTCTTCCCATGACTAGACATTTGACATGTGACAAGGATGTTTGTACTCTTTAATCTTTACCCCCCCCCCCCCCCCCAAAGGTGAATTATTACAACATCTATGTTAGTTCCTGTTCTTGATTTATTTAGAATGGATTTCTCTTTATATAATTTGAAGAGACACTAGCTTCTCAAACTGGACCTGTGTTCTGTCCTCCTCTAGTCTTTTTTATTTCCCCCACCTATAAACTTTTCTATAGTTTCATGTTATTCATTTCATCGCTCTTTTTCATCATTTTCTAAAAATCTTTTCCACCACTCCTTGCACTGACACTGAGAAAAATCTTTCTGGATTTTTCCCCAAACAGTGTACCACTACACGGATACGTCTCTGTTATCTACTTGCTATCCCTTTGAATTCTTTTATATAATATTTTCATTCATCCTCTTTTCAGCGTTGTATCATTCTGACAGTGAAATGTTTGCCAAGAAATTTTCATCGGATTTATATCGTGTCTAAAAGCGAAGGGGAGATGGAGATTCAAAATCTCTCCTGCATTATAGCATGCTTTAGGAACAAAATTGTACTGAAAACTGAGGATATTTACTTGTCCTTTCTCGAATTAAAAAGCCATTAAGTGGTGCTTCAGTTGTTGGGAATGGGTTCTTGTTTATTTGTTTGTTTTTGTTGTTTTTTATAAGTTGGAGGGGTTGGGGTGGCTCTTCCTCATGTCCTATTTGGTCTCTGGCACGTTCACCTACGTTATGTTATGTTTTATGAACATAGATCTAGCTTTATCAGTTTTCAGAGGAAAAGGTATTTTTTAAAGAATTTATTAGCCCCTGATATGATGAATACATCCCACAGTGATTTTTTGTGAGCATTCTTCCATGAACCATCTTGAAGAAAAATAGCTGTCTTTTTAACTATATTATTTACTTATTATTTGGACGGAAGCCTTTGAAAGCAACTTGAAAATAGTACTTTGAGCTGTTTGCATTGTGTAAACATTTTCTGTCGGGCCAATCAGGAAGAGACGGCATCTCGAGCCATTTTTCAAGCTGAGGCGCGAGAACACAAGTCTTTGTGGGACCACGAGATCAAGTCCCGCTCCAAGATCGGGCTCAGGGTGAGTGAGGGTGATGCTGTTCTGTATCCTGGGGGAGGGGTGGCAGTGATATCACGCATGCTTCATTGATGGCATCACTACAGTGTCATGCATGCTTGCTTGATGGGAGCTCTACAGTGTCATGCATGCCTGTTTGGTTGCAACATAGCAGCGTTATGCATCTTTGCATGGTGGCTAGCAGCGTTATGCATCTTTGCATGGTGGCTTGTTTGATGCCAGCACAACTGTGTTATGCATGTATACTGAATGACAACACTACAATGTCATACATGCATGTTTGATGACAGCTCTGCAGTCATGCATGCTTGTTTGATGGCAACGCAGCAGCGTCATGCATCCATGTGTGGGAGTGAGTTTTGATGGCTACAAAGCAGTGTCGTGAAGAAGACTTTGTTCCTGAACGGCTGAATTAAATCATTCAAGTCAGTGGTTCTACTTCAGTCCCCATCCAGTGTGCAGAAAATTCTTGTCTGGATTTGTCACGTTGTCATCTGACGTGATGTTTTCATGAGTTGAATCCAATTGATCATAAAACAAACGAACTCATTTGATTTTGGACGACCGGAACAGGTTGTGCCCAAATTCCTGCAAAATGGGAAAATCTAGCCAAATCAGTCACTGCCGTTTTTGAAGTCATGCAGAATTGACCAGGAGTCGCATCACTTCACACTGGATGCATTGTGAGTGCTTTAGCGGTAGTAAAAGTTTTATGACACTTGCTACACAAATAGGTCATATAAGTGTTGAAGATTAAAGGTGTTACCAGAGAGTAACATACAAAGAAAAAAGGGAGGAGAGATAAGGACGATAGATGTTTGATAGGAAAGGATGAGGAAACCACATGGGAGCACCCACAAACCAACCATATTTTGGATGCACACTGTCTTCCCTCGTCTCAGTGGACCAGTACAGTTCACATGTGGCTGTCATGTTCAGATGCCTTACTGTTGCACCTACTTCACAACATCCTGTGAGCTGAACTGGTGCTCCAAACTCAGCTCTGTTCTCACCGGTTGGCATCTTCTCTCACTGCATGCTCTTGCTGGAGGCTTATTCATTTATACTTATTATTTAGCAAATCGTGCCAGATGAAAAGAGGTTTTTGTATTCGTGGCACATCATATCTGTGCAGTTGATAGTCTGTGGCGACTCAGTCAAGCATGTCCTTCACGTCTTCACTTCTCATGAGCTGTCACTCATAATCAAAGTTGATCAGTACACCATTCTCTCGTTCACACTATGCATGATTGATGAAAACAGTTGTGAGCATGTGTCTGCAAATTCTGAAAGCTACGAGGATGATCAGCACTTGTTGCCATTTTGTGTCTTCGATGCATGATGGACATAGCTTCTGACACACATCATGACTCCAATGCTGGACCATTGCATCAACATGTATCTCAGTTCACTTGCACTTGAAGCTGTTCAATAATTTATTTATTTCTCTCACCCAGAGTGGAATTTGACACGCATCTGCATGCATATTTATTCACAGTTTTTTTTGGGGGTTTTCACAGTACCATAAATACTTACGTTGTTAAGCTTCACACCAACATAGATAACTTTGGTACGGAGCCCAACTCGATATTCTACAACTTCAGTTGCTCAGGAAGTTCTCAAGGCTCCCCAATCTTTTGTGTTGAATAATATTAGTGTTTGAAATGGGCAATTAAAATCATACAACAGGCAAACCTACCCCAAAGAATTCATGTTTGGATAGTCTTTCCACTTTTACCCTCTTTATGTTCACCTTGTGTCTGACTAAATGTTTTTATCTGTCAATATGTAACAATTGTTACATCTTCACTCTAGATCATGTATGAATTATATATATACCTGTAGTAGATGTAAGTATATATAGCTTCACCCCTCTCTGTGGGCGTGGACTGCTATGCTTTCTGTATGTTAACAGCTCTTTTCTTATCATAGTTTTAGTTTCATGTCATGTATCTCATATTTTGTCATTGCATCAGCCAAATCATATATCACTTTCACTTACTCATTATGAAATCCATTTTATAATCTTTGGTGCCTGAATGGCATGCATGGTTTCTTTCAAAATGGCTGTTCTGCTTGCTGTTTTTTACTTTTTAACCAATGTTTTAATTCTTTCATTTATTCATTCCTTTATTTATTTATTGTCTATTCATAAACTCTTTGTTCATAAATTGATCATTTACTCTTCTTTTCATGAATTCTTCTGCTCGCTTATTATCATAAATCATTATAGTTCAAAAATTATTTTTCTGCTCATTTATCAGTCTTCTTTTCATATATTTGTTTTTAAAAGCTTGATCATTCATTCTTTTGTTTGTAAATATTCTTTCATCTACATGTAGAGCTACATGATTTTTAAATTTTTTTTTAAATTGTACAATCTTTAAGGCATTTGACCCTTCTTTTGTGTTAGTCATAAATTCATCATTTCATTCGAGCATTCGTTCTTTTGTTCATTCTTCTGTTTAATCGTTTTGTTCTTTTGTTCATGGATTGTTATTTCACTCAGTTGCTCATCCTTTCCTTTGTTCATTATCATTTATTTGTTTATTCTGTTTTTTATGATTAATTATTCTATTAATTTTATTATTTCAAATATCAATTATGTAAATGTATATATATAGTGTACATGTACATTAAGTTTTCATTAAGGATGATCATATATATATACTTTCTTTTTACTGCATGGTGCCTTGCATTCACAACTCAATCCCTGAGCATGGGTGGGTCACAATATTTGTCATCCACAAAAGTTTCCTACTGGTCATGGTTATCATCCTTATGAATTTTCTGCAGGTCACATTTTCACATTTACATCTACATGAGTTTTCTGTGGATCACAATATAAACGCTTGTCATCCATTTGCATGAGTTTTTTTGTTTTACATGATGCTCTTTCATGGTTTGCATTTTCCGTCACAACATACTGTAACGTTTATGCTGTGTTAGTTTACATTTTAGGTACTGAAAAGATTGAGTGTATAGCTAATAAGGTTAATGTTTACCAGAATGTATCGGTTGCTATGAGTGCTTGGAAACAAGTGAGGTCCGGCGGTTTGTTGGGTCAAGTACGTGTATACCTTCTGGGTGTCTCATTTCTAGAAGCCTTGGTAGGTACTGTTCCAAATTAAAACTAGGGGCTCCAATTTTAAAAACTTTCATCAGTTGGATGAACCGTGGCGAAAGTACCTGCGATCTACTCAATGGAAGTTTAAGAAGACCGCTCAGTGTCACTTCTGTGGCAGTTTTTCCTATATGAAACCTGTTTCCCTTTGTAATCTGACAAAGTCTTTCTTTATGACCCCTGCCCCACCTTCCATCAACTGTTTGTTAATTAAAAGTTAAGCTGTCGACTGTTTTCCGGAAATGAACTGATTCAGAGTGAGATTTATAGAATGAATTAGGACATACTTGAAATCAACATGCTTCAACAAACCTATTTTATATGACGCCCCCTTTTTGAAATATTATTATGATTTTTATTACTTTTATTTGTTTAATATTAATATTTTTACACCCACTTTGAGTCCACGCTGTTTCACCTCATTTCACTTTCAGGCAGTCTATAATTATTTTTGTGTGATTTGCTGTCATTTAGCAACTCTCAAGCAAATTGTTTAGTATGTATATAATTGACAAAAGAACTGAGAACCTTTGAATGGATTTGGGTGTTCTTGAGTATTGGAAATGTACGTGTATATTTGGGTCTGTCTTTGTGTCCTACTCTTAGTGTCTGTGTGTGTGTCTGTACCCCTGTATCTGTCTGTCTGTCTGTCTGTCTGTCTGTCTGTCTGTCTCTCTCTCTCTCTCTCTCTCTCTCTTTCTCTCTCTCTCTCTCTCTCTCTCTCTCTCTCTCTCTCTCTCTCTCTCTCTCTGTCTCTCTCTCTCTCTCTCTCCATCCCTCTCCCCTCCATGTGTGTGTGTGTGTATGTGTGTTAGTACATTCTCATAGCTCACTTGGGGTGCCATTGTTTATATAAGTCAATTGAAAATGTGTGCCAGGGACTAGTGATGTTGAATCTGTGATGTCTGTGTCCCCAGATTGCAGATTTGGAAAGAAATAAGCAATTCTCAGAGTCCAGATTGGGAGAGGTAAGTAAACATTAAAATTTGGGAGTACATATATTTTCTTACAAAATTTCAATTTTATCAGCAACAGTATTCACCCTTTTTATACTGTTTTGTTTTTCTTCTTCTTTTTTTGTCAGAATTGATCGAAGTAAATCTGGTAAACTATCCTCCATTCCAAATCAGTTGTTACTCATATCCTCATGCATCTGCTCTCAAAGGAAACAACATGCTAGATCTTGTGTTACTGTCTGCGGATTTTCTTTTACATTGAATAAATTCAACATGTAGACGTGTCTTGGAAGGCAGAGGCGGTAAATTGGATTGAACTCTTCGGTCACAAGAGCTTCTATGAAGTTGTGTGAGCTGATCGGCGGGGGGGGTATGTTGTATGATTTTATATTAGGGTTACTTTATACTGGTGTTGGATTTACCCCTTTGTCTGTGTGTAATATTATAGGTTCGTTGTTCGCTAAGTTGATATTAAAGAGCTGAACTGCATCGTAGTTGACCCTGATTCAGATCCTGAAGGGGACATTCCTGATCTTGGATTTTTAGGGCATTTTTTAGGCTCCTAACTTCTCATCTTTATCCTATCAGAGATGGATGTTAATTCACTAGGTCTTATCTATCGTCCTTATCTCCCCTTCTTCTTTTTTATGTTTATTACTCTCTTGTAACACCTCTAATCTTCTGGCGCTCATACGACCTCATGCAGTTGCGAGCGTCATAAAACCTCTACTAAAACTAAAGTGGTCTTGCCTCTTAAAATGGAAGTCGTTACTTCTTTTTATAAAGGGTGGAAAACACAAACTGTGCCTTGGCAAATTCTAATAATGGGATATTGACCAACTCATCTTTTGTGTTCTCAGGAAAAGAGTCGTGTCAACCTGGTGAATGAAGAGAAGCGGTCACTGGAGGCGAGGCTAGGGGAGGAGATGGAAAAGTAAGTGACCGATACCTCCCGACTGTTTGTGTAAGACTCCGCCGTACACCATTTTGAAAAGTGACTACTGATTGATTCTTACACTGATTAGCTGATCTGCTCGTTTTCCACCTTGTTTCTGATTTTTGTTTTATGGTGTCAGGAGATTTTTTCTTAAAGTCATGGCCCACAATGCCAATAATATGTTTTCTCTTTAAATACCTACTCTCAATATTTACAGGAATGGGGATGTACTTTAAAAAAAAATATAGGTGTTTAATTCCCCCAACAACACAGTTTGGACCATTTAGGAGGCGGGTTTTGACCCTGCCTGTCACTTCCTGACAGTTTCACCATAGATTATACAGACAGACCATTTTACAAAAGTACGAAAGAGAATCACCAACGCAGTGGGGCAATATGAAGATCTAGTGACCACAATGAAGAGACGAAAACTAAAATGGCATGGGCATGTCACAAGATCCACAGGACTTGCCAAAACAATCCTGCAAGGAACCGTACAAGGAAAGAGAAAGAGAGGAAGGCAGAGAAGGAGATGGGAGGGCAACATTACAGAGTGGACAGGAAAGACGATGGGTGACAATCTGAGGAGAACAGAGGACAAAAATAGATGGCGAGAGCTGGTTTTCCAATGCAGTGGTGCCCCAACGGTTGCCCCAACCTCGGGATAGAAGAAGAAGAAGAAGATACATAAATACTCTAGTTAATTTATACACATATACTCATAATTTTCACCATTTGACTGAGAATCATTGCTACTCTCTCGTATTACTCATAACTTATTCTTGTAACAGAAGAATTTGGCGCTTTTTCTTTTAATCGTGATCTTAATCTTGTGCAGAAATCAGCAATTACAGAAAGATGTAAACACCTTGAAGCTTCATCTCAAGTCAGCAAAGAACAAGATGAAGGTGAGTCTTTTGGATTGTAGGAGAGTCTCTCTATTTTGTTTCAGTCTCTTCTGCCTCTCATTTCCAGCTGCAGTTAATGGTTGCCTGGGGCTATAAATCTTTTTTACTTTTTAACTTTCCTTTTCAAATTTTGGTATTTGTATGTTAAAAATGAAAGTATGAGCGGTTTTTATTATTTATTCAAAACTGAAACTGAACATAATTGCAAATAGATATTATTGCCTTTAGAATTATTCACAACAATCTTATGAACCAAAATCTGTTTCAAATTAAAAACACATGCTCATTTATCTTTTTTATACTTATGGGTCAAAATATTTATTACACTTTTTCTTTAAAATTAGAACTGCAAGCATAATATGAACCTTTTTCTTTGTAAAACTCTGTTGGAACGTGTTACCACTTATCAAAGGAGATATCGGCAAATGAATTAATTTTTTCTCTTTCTGGCTGGTGATTGGTGCTCTGTTGTTCTCTGCTGGTTGAGAGTTCTAGAATTTTCTCATTTAATAATCACTCATAAAGTGGTGGAAGGGTTACACAATTTTCTCCTTTACTTCATTTCTTGAGCTCAGGGGATTTTGTGTTTCTAAGTTTGCCTCCATAACTATTTTTCTCCTCTTTTTGTTTTCCTTTTCTTGCTACAAAATTTATGACAAATCTCCCATCCATCTTTTGTACTATTTTTTAAGAATCTGGAAGAAAGAAAAAAAGTCTATTGAAGACAGAGGTGTATCTTTGAATCTTGGGAAAAGCCGCCTAATATATTATTATGGCTCCTTTCGTCTAAGCAGACGGTCAATTTAGCTTAAGATGGTCTCAAGGTTGTCTTCATGCAGCTTCTTTCAACGCCGCTTCTTTCAAAGCCGCTTAATATATAACGTGTATTTGACCTGTTTTAATCTTGAAATCTAATGTTGCTTGGTATATTTTGGACTTGCTTGTCAATATTTTTTATCGAAATTTGATTTGTGTCTGTTACTTATCATTGTATCCAGTTGAATATGTTTATTGTTGTATGATCTTGTATAGAATTGAGTATGTTCCTAATCACGTGACCTTTTATAGGGGCGCTCCCTTTGCTCAGTTGGTATCATGCTGGACTATGAGGCAAGGCCCTGGTTCGAATCCCAGATTGGGATTTCTTGAACTTGGGCAGTTTTGTGGGGTTTTCAAGGCTCTCACCCATTTGGCTCGGTCCTATTGAACACGGAAGTTAAATTTGGAGGTCCCACCTCTTAAATAATCTAATATTGTTGATAAGGTGTTACACCATGTGTAAAATTGAGTTTGTTTCTTTTGATGTGATAAGATGACCATATGATAACCATGTATAAAATTGACTTTGTTCCTTATCATGTAACCTGGTACAATGAAGTATCAAGTAAAAAACAACAAAGTATCAATGTTGTGTGCGAACTTTGGTTGTGCCTTAGGGGGTTGGGTCTCCGCGGGCAGACCCCAGATACTCAGACTTCCGGCGGGATGTGGAGAACACCACTACGCATGCGTCGACGCCAAGAGCACAGGTAGCCCGTGGCTTCTAGCGTGCACCAGCACAGCACAGTTTGATGGGCCTCTTAGTACCCCTGAGTTTGACTTTTGCTTTTGTGTTTGCTTTAGACAGAGTGAAATTCATGCCACATTTCCACCCTTCTCGGCCACCACGCTCCGCACACCCCCCCACACTGCCACATCCTCACCAGACCACACCCCCACATCACTTTCCTTACCTCGTTTTACACCTCCACACCGGGTTACTGCCTCCCAAACCTGCTTTTTTCCTCCTACCACTCTCCACACCACCTCCCACACTATTTCCCACATCACACCACTCCACACACACCATCTCACACACCAGCTCCCACCTCTGACACCCCCACACACCACCGCACCGCCTCTCACACTATCTTCCACATCCTCATACCA